ATTTTATTTTTATTTTATATAAAATATAATAAAATATATATAATGTATTAAAAGGATTTAATAATTGGAAGGACTAGGATTAAAAAGAGGGAAGGAAATTTTCGTTATTTTTACTTTTTTTAGTCTTCATTATGGATTCATTAAGGGATTTATGGCATTGGATTGTTTGCTCCTCTTACAAGTGCAATTTCACAGGATCACTGAGTTTGTAACCAAAGTATCTGTATGGGGCTTAAAAAATATTACACATATTAATTATACAATACACTCTCATATTATTTTATTAAAATAAATTTTATCAAAATCATTTCATTTACTGATAAGATTGATCCCTGATGCAATATCAGTTCCTTTAGTGTTAACAAATTATGACTAATTTTTGCAGATATCATTCTTTTATCTACATCACATCTAAATAAATCTCATTAATTGGTATATATATATATACACACACACACACAAAGAATGTCTATAAAAAAGCATTCATTAACATAATCTTATCTTACAAGTTTACTAACAAGTAAAATAAAAACCGCCAACACATATTAAAACCACATTGAATTCACTTGGCATGTAGTCACTTTTTCAAGAAGGAAAAATTATACCTGAAGCCATACGAAAAAGCTAACAACTATAAATGAATTTACCTGTGGACGGCGGTCGCGGGGACTGCGGCGTCGGCGTGCCGACGTCGGAGCGCCTGTAGTGTTCGGCATCTTCGCACAGCTCGTCGGCGAGAAAGATCTCGCGATCGTCCAGGCACACGTCGCCGTCGTCGCTATAGACCCATCAGAAAATTTCCACGATAAAACAATTTCTCTTTTCTGTTTGAAGAATCGAAAGCAACGATTTTCTCGCAATTTACCTCTCAGAGCTCGCCGAACTTGGTGGCTCGAATGGATGCTGCACTTTAGCTGCCATATTCCCTGGATTTCGTTGGCTTGAGCTCGTCACCTCCCGCCGACAACGTCAACGTCGAGGACGATCACTTGCATCTACTACGTTGTTCATAAGCACACGTCAAACGTATATACACAAGCATGCAGCGATGTATATATGTGCAGTATCGCAACCCTACAGTTTATGGCCGCGTTCAGAAGAGAAAGCGCTCAGTTATCGTCTTGTCAACACTTGACGTTGATTCGTTGGTTCTAAAAGTAAGAACCAATCACATTCGATTGCTACTAAGCGGTTTTCTCTGCTGAACGCGGCCAGTGTCATTTCCTAGATTGTGGGAAAAATCCCCACCATTCAATCATCGTATTTACTTTGGGTGTGTTCGAGAAGCACGCTTTTAGCGCTATGAGCGTGCTCTGTCCTTGTTCAACTTACGGTAAATAATAAAGATAGAACGACACTTTTAGCGCGTAAACGTGTTTCCCGAACACAATCTTTGTACATACGCATGCTTGGAGTGTCTTCGGGAATCCTATCTGTGGGGTAGAATTTAATTGATCAATAAAGATAAAAAGATTAGAGGCGTAGAACACAAAAAAACGCTATCTTGTTCCTACTTTCTGATTGGTCGGTTATAGCCGCCATATCAGACTCGTATCCCACGTTGTAGAGTTGTTATCAAATGTGATTGTGTTGATTAAAGTCTAAATAAATACATATTATTATTTCTTGTGATCACGGTAATCAGAAATATTTTTTCTGTGTCGTTAAATTAACTGCAAGGGACTTCACTGACATTGTAAGATCCTTATTTGTGTCCAACAGCACACATATATAATATCCAGTCTAACCTTTTCATCCGTGTATCGGATTCGCATCACAATTCATCTTTCTGTTCTATTTTAGATGGTGAGACACTGTGCAGTTAGCGGCTGTAATGTAAAGGAAAAGCAAGGCCTTATGATGTTCCGATTTCCGAAAGAACCAGAAAGGCGTGCGAAGTGGATTTCATTAGTAAACCGGTCAAATTGGCAACCCCATGCAAATAGCACACTTTGCGAAGTATGTATCACTCTGTGTATTTCTACTGCTGTCATAAAATTTGTGCTAATCATACTCATTTTTTTTTTTTTTAAATGTTCAGATCCATTTTGGCAAAGACCAGTGGGAGCAGAGGAGGATCGATGGTTTAAGAAAGTTACAATGCTCGGCTATTCCATCGTTACTATGTTCAAGAGAAAATAGTTCGCCTGCCTCTTACATTCCTTCTCTTGATGAACATAACTACTGTCGCCTGTCCAGTGCTCCAGCAGCCACCTTTCATCCTCTGATACTTCTCCAACGAAGCCTCTTGAAGGATGTCTCTAACACAAATTTGAATAATACTCCTATCCATCCAGCAACTTTTGTCACCTCTGTCAATTTACCCAAGAAAATATCTGCATCGGAGATACAGTCGTCAGCATCCTCACCAGTTACAGATACTATGGAAGAAGAATCTGTGGAAGCTTTGAAGGAACGATTAGAGTTAAAAGAAAAAGAAATAGCCGCACTCCAGACAAAATATGTTTCCATACAGAAGAAGGCAGGTAGAATTTTTACAAGTTATTGCAATATGAAGAGGCAACGTGAAAGAATGAAAACAGAGCTTAAAAGACTTCAAGATTTCCATCGTCACAGCCATGGATTATTGGCCGTCAGGTTGCGTCAAGATCAATTGAAGGCTCTATGTTCAAAGACTACAAGAGGAAGAAAATGGAGCATTCCCACCATTACTGACGCACTAGTTTACAAGATGAAATTGGGAACGCAAACCTACTCGGAATTTGTTAGAAAGTTTCCAATTTTCCCTTCAGTCAGGACACTTCAAAAGGCAGCTGAACATTTATAGTAGTTGTCAGAAACAAACTTTTTATTTAATTATATAGTGTACGTGACATAAACTATAATTTTGGATGCATCCAGGTGGGGAATCCAAACACAGCCCATGATGTAAGAAAATAATAATATAATGGCACTATCAACGTGCGGGCTTAAGATGGCGGCAAGGTAGAGTTCGCGTTTCTCTGTATTTTAGGCCTCTACTTTCAACGTAATGTATCGTGTTTAGGATTCCTATAAATAAATCTTATATTTTTCGTTATATGGAATGCCAAAGATTTGAAAAAACAGATAAATGCTTACATATATTAAAATTATAAACAAAATATTTTATTAATAAAATTTGTGTTGCATCATCATATTTTCCATTATTTCGTTATGTCATATCATAGATATTGTCCAGGCAACACATCTAGAATCTAGAAAACTTCCTCTCTTACATGATATCCGAGTGATACCCAAAATAAACGAATAGAAAATTTAGAATCTGTAATAAAAACTAAAAACAATGTGAGCAATAAAAAAACCAAGTATAATAAGTCTTAAATAGAAAATTTTTAAGAAAAAAAAAATGTGCAATGTACAATAAATATATATGATAATTCTACATTTTACGAGACGCCAAATACAGCTAAAAAAAGAAAATTAGAATCTTTTTTTCCGCAGAAATTGCAGAACAAAAATCTTTATCAGTGACACACGATCGAAGCAACAAAAATAAATGACCTCCCGCGATAACAAGCAGGATCCTCTCACGAATGATACCTATTGCTGTATGCAGTTTCAGACGGCAGTCGCGCGTCGTCGCTGAGAATCGTGTGTTCATTCAGCCGGTAACACTGGACCATCGCTCGATCTCGTTGTTGGCCGGCCGAGCGCAAAGTGTAGCATATAATGTATATATGTCCAATACATACATACATACGCGTAAAGTGAGCGAGAAAGAGAGAACGAAAAATTACCCCGAGTTTACCCCCGATGGCTTCTGCGTCGTGTTGACTCCGTCGCGTCGCGTGACGTCGCGCCGTCTTTTAATAGAGTACCTCCTCGCCTCCTCACAACCGGTTCGCCCGTGTACGATAGGATACGTGGAGACCCCAGCTCTCGTCGGGAGACGCGCCCTCGTTCGACCTTGAGCGACTATAACCGGTGCGTAACGTTCGATGTACGGAGCATCGGTGGCATTGGCACGTCGCGGAGGATTCATCGCTGCTGATCGCAACAAGCCGACCACCGCCGCGAGTCGGCCCGCACTCTCCTCGCTTCTCTGTTTACTTCCTCCTCGGCGGCGGCGCTTACTCCTCGACGCGTAATAACTTCGGCGGCGAAATGGCGAAGAAGACGTACGATCTACTCTTCAAGCTACTGCTCATCGGCGACTCCGGCGTCGGCAAGACGTGCATACTGTTCCGCTTCTCGGACGATGCCTTCTCCACCACGTTCATTTCCACAATAGGTGAGAAACAAATAAAAGGAGAGAAAGATATATATGTACATATATATATAAATATATGTATATATAAAATATACACATATATATATATATATGGATGGAAAGACCAGGAATCGTTTCTTCGTTGACGCAGCGCTTTCGTTGAAAAAAAAAACAGCTGTCGCGTCTCGTTCTGTAAAATCAAACGCAATGGAGCTGATTGCCGTTTCATTTCTCTGTGTGCAAAGTTCACGGGCACGCGCGCATGTATGCATACACGCACACTTAAAGAACGATCAGGATAAAATTACGAGCGTGTTTTCTCGCCAAAAAAGTGATCATTGTACTTTTCTTTCGCTGATCGTGCATACATCAATTTAACGATAGCAAGCTCATATTACGTATGTTGCAGAAAAGATCTTTATCGTATAAACAATTTTTAACTTTATATAAATATATATTATATATATTCTTAAAGCATGTAAATAAAAAATGACTGGACGTACATACATAATTTCTTGAAATTCTAAAGAAAAATGTTTTATTATCCTTTTTTTTTTTAATATATGAAATATAAAAGTGCTTCTTCTCATAGGTATTGATTTTAAAATCAAGACAGTGGAATTAAGAGGAAAGAAAATCAAATTACAGATATGGTGAGTTATCACGTAGGTATATAATTAAAAAAATCTATGTATTTATGTTTATATATTTGCAGGGACACAGCTGGGCAAGAAAGATTCCACACTATTACAACATCATATTACAGAGGGGCTATGGGGATTATGCTTGTTTATGATATTACTAATGAAAAAACATTTGAGAATATTGTGAAGTGGTTGAGAAATATCGATGAAGTAAGTATATAACTTATTACTTATATTCACAAATATTAATTATATGTTTAAAGCAAACAATAATTTTGACTATAAATATTTCCTATAGCATGCAAACGAAGATGTGGAAAAGATGATATTAGGAAATAAGAGTGATATGGAAGAAAAACGTGTTGTCAGCACCGAGAAAGGAGAAGCGGTAAGTATTTAATTATTATACACACATTTCTTGATATATTATGATAAAACAATATAGTAACTAATTGTTTGTTAAAGATACAACATATAGCTTCAATAAACAAAATTTTCTCATTTATAGATAGCGAGAGAACATGGCATTAGATTTATGGAGACGTCTGCAAAAGCAAATATTAATATCGATCGAGCATTTAGTGAGCTAGCGGAAGCAATATTGGACAAAACACACGGCAAGGAACCTCAAGATGCGCCCGACAGAGTGACGGTTGATCGAAGAGTAGAAAAAAATTCGAATCGGTGCTGCTAATTTTATATATTATTTATTTTAACGGTACATGATGAACTATATATCAGCTCGTGCCACACTTGGGATAGAGTTCTCGATAGACTTAGAGCATAATTTAAAGCATAATAACATATTTAAACATTTCACGACACTGCCTGATCAGGTGTAATCTAATCTCACTTTTGCTCTGGTAAAAACATTTTTTTATGCTGCAATCAAAACAGATATTGCTAAAAAAGAAAAAAAAAGATTACTCATCCAACCCAGTATATTTGAAAGTTATATTTCGTAATTACATGTACATAAGCAATAAGTTTCAAACAACATTATTCTTTCACACATATATTATAGAATTATATCTATAATATATAAACAAATTTGAAATTTCATTAGTTTATATAAATGATAAAAAAAGTTTGCATAAACACGCAAGTTTTAGTAATGGATCTTCATGTTTCATGTGAAACGCTATTGCATTGTTGCACGAACAAAGAACTAGGACATATTGTTTGTTATGAGGCTGCAATTTGTTACCATGTTGAGTGATGTGAGTATGAGTGTCAGCTTTGATCTTGATAAATCTTTTTGGACATTAAAAGCTTTCCTGTGTGGATAATTGCACCAGACACGTGCTTATTTGTATATTAAGTTAAGGTGAGAAAGTTTAAAACCGAAAGCTTTTACCGTTTTGTGTACGGCCAATTTATTATAAATATAAATATCCACAATTTCGAAATCATTCTGTTGTTATTTCTTAAAAACATGTATACATATATGAAATTTTTTAGATATGAAAACATACATATATGCATATATCTTGCATGAAATCTTTTTAGATGATGAAAATTACTTAGATAAATAAATGTCGCTATATATAAACACTTCGTATCAAAAACATTAAAAATATTATGACAATTTAAATTATAGAATTTTTTATATTTTTTTTCTATATGCATTATTGGTAAAAATTAATCAGCAACAACCATCATTTGATTATTTTTTCTGCATCGTATTGAATGATATTGTAAACAGGATTGTCATGCATTATATAACATTACACGAAACCTGAAATTTTGTGCATGCATCATGCATAGGAATATTAACATATCTATTGGAAACAAATGTAATACTAATATTATCTGAAATTGAAAAAAAGAGATCACAAATATTGGAGAATAATTACACGTTTTATTATTTAAATATGAACAAAGAATAAACACAATCACAATTTTCTAAATATATATATATATGTATATGGGCAACCACAGGTACAAGCATCTTTCAGGGTTACCTCTGGAATTACAGTCAGGTCAAGATAATACAATACTACAACTAATGCTGGGTGTTTTTATATCACATAATATTTTTTTATATCATAATATACATATATAATATATAATATATTTATTATAATTATATTAATATCATTATAATAAATTTTTAATTAGATGTATACATTTATTGATCGCATTAAAGAATTCGTAAGAAAGATTTTTAAAAAAATAAGATATAAATTTCATAGCCACTTTTATAATAAATGATTTTGATGACAATTACATATACTAAGCAAAATAATATACAGCAGAGAAATAAAACTGATACTTTTTTATAATAATAATAATAATAATAATGCATACTATCCTATTAAAGCAATTATAAGAATTTATATTTGGTTTCATACCTAAGAGAAGATAGGAAACACTTTGTATTACGCCTTATGGACGTAAATAAGAGGCTTTGAATCCAAGCGTGCTGTTTGTACATATATATATATATATGTATATGGGCAACCACAGGTACAAGCATCTTTCAGGGTTACCTCTGGAATTACAGTCAGGTCAAGATAATACAATACTACAACTAATGCTGGGTGTTTTTATATCACATAATATTTTTTTATATCATAATATACATATATAATATATAATATATTTATTATAATTATATTAATATCATTATAAATTTATATTTGGTTTCATACCTAAGAGAAGATAGGAAACACTTTGTATTACGCCTTATGGACGTAAATAAGAGGCTTTGAATCCAAGCGTGCTGTTTGTACACATTAATCTTCAAAAATTTGTAAAAACTACCTGTTCATAGAAATTAAAATCTTGCCAATATTATACTTCTTTACACTTCATTATTTGCTCGCCTACAGTGTACTCTCAGGACGATAACTGCAGAGAGCCAGAGCAGGACGGCGATAAGTAAAAGCTGCTTGTGTATCTTGTAGTAGTTACAATACAAGTCAAAATAGAATTGACAGCAATTAGTCTCGCGAAGCGCCAATAATAGTCAGGATGTAGATGAAAATGTTAACAACATCTAGATACAGACTCAACGCGGCAAAGATGTACTCCTCTGGCGAAATGGAATATTTGTGCTTTCCACCTATCATCATTTGCGTATCATAGATCAGATAGAAAGAGAATATTAATGCACCGAGCGACGCATAAACCAAAGTCATAATTTTTCCAGGCCAGATCATCGCGACTATACCAAAAATAAGTAAGATGAGCACAGCGACAAATAGAACGGTATGTAATCCTGTAAAATCAATTTTCGTCTGAAATGCGAATATTGTCAGTCCTAGACAAACCGCCGCTGTAATTCCAACAGCTAACATAACCTGTAAAAGCATTGTAGATAGATAAAACTTCTTACAATTTAGGCTGCGTTCCGATATTCACTGCCAGTACTGAAAATCTATAGTTTACGTCACATGCATTATAGATTTTCAGGACTGGCAATGAATATTGGAAGGCAACCTTAATATAATGTATTACAAAAATTATTCACACATATATACAATATTCGGAATCAATATTACAATACTAAAATTGTTTTGGACAACTTACTTCTTCACTTTTGTAAGTCGAAGAAGCTAGAGCCAGCAAGAAAGCTTCCGCCAATGTAAATAAAAACAGGAATATGAAGTTCATCGGGGCCTTACGTCTCACATTGGTACAGCAAGCCATACATATGATCAAGATGATAGTTGCAGCAAAGGCGATCCAAAACAATTCTGTATGTCTCATGGCCCATTGCTGTGTTGGTTTATGATAGAGGAACAAAGTAATCATCCCAAATGTGATGAGTAACTGACACATCAGGATGCTATATACTTTCCTATAAAAGAAAAATATATATTTATATATTTGCTATAAATTCTATCTAGAGCATGCTATATAAATTTTAGGAGTCATGAAACTTACCTGATGAAGCCATTCCTAATGGTTTTATCATTGAATTCAAATCCTTTGATCTCATCCTGCAGAGGGTCTTCTCCATAGCTAGACCCGTACATCCCTGATTGAACTGGTGGTATTCCTCCGAATCCTGAACCAATTGGCGGTGCCTCACCGTAAGGTGGAGCACCTGGTGGAGGTATAAATCCTGGACCTATTCAAAAATAGTAATGTTCGATGAATAAATAAAATGCTATATTTTAAAATAGTTTAAATAATATTATGTTGAGCTATATTACCTACCTGGCGGATTTCCACCGGAGTAAGGTGGTGGATATCCTGGATTTTGTGGAGGATATGGATAGCCTTCTTGCGGTGGTGGATACCCAGGATTTTGTTGAGGGTATGGATGTGGACCTGCACAGTCAAATTCGAAAAACATAGATATCAACGTTGCAATATCATATGCATTTAACCTTGTAGTAACGTGAAGAACTCTGTGTGCACTAACAGCAGCCACTACTTTTACATAGTGCATGTTTTATGCTTTTGTAAGATTAAATTCTAATTATGTTTGATATAATTTGTTGGAATGCATATATTTGTGAATATATATTGTACAAAAACTATAATCTTGATGAGATGTGTATGTGTGTGCGTGTGCTAATCAGCGCATCTTTTTTTTAACACGCTACTTGCATACATATTAATTTGCTAATAATTTTTTGATTCTCTCAAGTGTTGATTAAAGATAATCATTATTAACAATGTGCTTTTTCAAATGTTGTATAGAATGATGTACCCTTTTAAGCAAGTGCTATGCTAACTGTTGATTGAACGATCTCTGGTGTAGATTCAGAACAGTTAAATAATAAAATATAATAATATAGGAAATATATTAAAAACAGAAGGAAAAAAGAGAGATCAGAACCTTGTTGCCCTGGATAGAATCCCGCACCAGGTGCTTGCCAAGTTGTCATCTTTTGGTTTTGTTTTAGCTGAAAAAGAACTTATCATTATATATATAACTAGGGATTTCTTTTACGAAAAAAATATCAATAAATCAATAAATATGTATAAATGCTCCAACAATATTAAAAATATTTAAATATTTAAAAAAATCATTGAGAAACATTTATCTTATGTCTCTCGCTCACTCAC